AACGGATGGATGGATGGATGGATGGATGGATGGATGGATGGATGAAGAAATGTTGGAAAGGATGGATGGATTGATGGGTGGGTGGGTAGGTGAACGGATGGATGGATGGATGGATGGATGGATGGATGGATGGATGAATGGATGGATGGATGGATGGATGGATGGATAGATGGATGGATGGATGGATTGATGGATGGATAGATGGATGGATGGATGGATAGATGGATGGATGGATGGATGGATGGATGGATGGATGATCATTCAGTGTTCTAAGCCCTGTAAAGGCTGTGTCACACTACAAGATTTTAAAACAGTCGGCCAATTTTCAAAGACTGAGAGAGCCCACACACGTGAGGATGAAAAATCATGGATCTACCAGGTTTGGTCCTACAGTGTGTGGTGTACAGTCACACGGCAAGAGACAACACACCACACACTAAAAGATATTTCATTCATGAACATTTAGATGTCAGATATTAAATCATGCGAGACTTCCTGAAATCTCGCGAGAATTCATATGTCAGAGGAAAAATCTCACATGACCTCCAGAGAGACGTGTGTTCAGAGTAAATAAACATTTGCAACAAGGAAGAAATAATGTTGATCATTTGTGGATTATTTTTACCAGAGGAAAAACAATTCCATAGGACTTTTAACATCCAGCAGACTTTCTGGTGAATCATGACAGTTTTTTGTTTTCTGTATTTTGGAATCCCCTCTGTGTTTACGTCACCTCGCTTTCTGATTGGCTAACACGTCTCAGTCACAGGCTGCAAGCTCGGGTGAACACTACACACACTGTGATATTGAGCCAAAAAATCAAACACGTTGAATATCCTCGATTTGAGGTCGGAGCGGTCCCGACGTCCTTCCAAGCCGACTAGATCACTCTTAACTCACCACCCACAGCGTGAATATCTGCTACGATTATCTTTAGAGCCATCACGATAATCTGGACTTCCTTAAGATTTAAGATTGTCAGAAGGGCAAAAATCAGCATGATTATCTTTCTGTGTGACGCAGGCCTAAGGTACTACAGTTGTACTGTCTGGTTGGGACTTTTTGCTTGTTTTAATTTACAATTGTGAAGTTAAACAGTTTCTGTTAGCTGTACCCACCATCAAGTGTTCCTGAATATAAGTGTGATAGGTCGAAGGACATGGGACCACTCTCCTTGATCACCGTGAATTCTTTAGAAAACGCCTCTGAATCTTGTCTCAGGAGCAGACGGAACGATCTGATGGAATCAAAAATACAGATTAATAGCAGATGTGGCCATATGGCTTTGTAGTGTTGTGGGAAGAATCCATCATCAGCTGGCAGAACTGGACAAATACCAGAATAATGATTTGCATCTGTTAATAATTTAGAAATAAGAAGTTGTGTAAACAGAAACAGATTGTTTTTATGGGGCTTTTTGAAACTAAACATTACCTATGGAAGGCAGTAAAATCCAAATCAAGCGTATAATCCCGATGTTGTGCAGACCTCCTGGCTTTTATGTGTTTTCTGTGAAGATCCTCCCTGTTGTATGATAAGACCTCGTAATGTTTTATATATGGACTGATGCTGCTCGTACAACCTGCAAGGGAAGAAGAAATTCAGTTTATGGGAGAGCAGCAACAATCTGTGAGATGTTCTGCAATAAAATGTGAGTTAGATGAATTTGCCAAACGTTAACACAACAGAACAAGGAAAACCTTAGGATAAAATGAAAAGATCATCCGTTGTTGACATCTTTTAATTAATTTGTAAATAAAGAGATCATCGTATCTAGTCGGACGCAATGGAGGAGGGTGGGGTGTGAAGTGCCTCATTTTCATTTAAAGAGACAGCACCAAAACGAGTTGCTATCAGACACACTTCAGAACAGAGGTGAAAGAGGGGCCTGTGGAGCTACAATACCCAGGAATTCAGACCAAAGCACTGAAGTTCCACTTTATATAGACCCCAGCTGAGTGATTTAAATGTGAAAACGAAGGGTTTAAAAGCATGATATGTCTTCTTTAAAATCACATTTACTGACTCAGTTTAACTCAAATTATTTATTTAGTATTGCCTCATATTTAAATGTCCTTTCCTTCTTCATAGGCTGTCAGTATTTATCGTTTTTGTCATCCATCTTGTCCTCAAAAGAAATAATAAAACTGACATGAAGTTTACTGATGACGTTCATCCTCCAGGTGGGAATAATAGCTTAAACTCAGACTTCAAGAAATGTCACTTGAAACCTTCAAACCACAGTTTCATGCAACTTGTTTGGAGTGAATCTTACAACAAATCCTTGAATAAGTGAGTATGTGCCTTGAATCACTTCCAACAGGATCAGTATCATGTCTGTGTTGTTAGGTTTTGCATGAAGGCTCTTTTTAAATTGTTGTTGTTGTTGTTAAATTCCTCAAAGGACAGGTTCAGGCACGCAGGCCAGAAGAGGCCAAACGGCAAGAACTGACCAGAACTGTAATTTCATCCACTTACTCCGGCAGGCAGACACAAAATGACCAAAGTTATTCAGTGAGGGAGGACCTTTGACTCGGTAATCCTCACATTCCAGCTCTACCTGTAATCCTTTCATGGCAGCTGAGGACCAGCGGCAGCAGCCAGTAGAGTTGGACCTCCATGTTCTCCTTATCGATGTGATTTAGTCGTTGCTCCTTTTCTCGTTCTCCACAGTTTGTCCTTCTTTTTCATCTCTTTTCTTCCAACTTCTCATAGCTGCGGTCTTCACATGCTTGGAATGTGTCTGAAAAGAAGCCAGAAGACAGAATGGAGCAATAAAGACTGATACTATGGAGAGGCATATTCAGACTTGTCTCCATGTTATGCGCAATCGCAAGAAAGGCTTGGGCTCAGATAGGAATGGGTTTTAGTAATTGAAACTCATATGAGCATTTAACGTATCAAAATAACGACAAATGTTGTCACATTTTCTTAAAGACAGAGCCTTCCCACAGGTTTGATTGTGATATTTTGAGTCAGGAGGAAGTGCTGATGTGCTTCTAAATATGAGAAAGCAGTAATTCTGTGCATGATTCACAATGTGTGAAAAGTTTTCTAAACAAATGTGAAAGATTTAACTGCTTGAGTAACAATCTCACATGACGAGGAACTGTGAAATCAGTGGGAAATGAGGTCAACTAAAACAAAAGTTCCCTACCTAAAATAAGTTTCACCCCTTTCACTTCCCTATTAATAAATAGCAATAAGTTTGCAACAACAGCAAAACATTTATAATTTTAAAACATGTGCTATAACTTGAGAAAAGGGAGCACAATCATTCAGTTAATATTGTTCCAGTTTACATGAAGTTTGGAATTGTCACAAACTTCTATGTTTTGTAAATGGCAACTTGCTGTCAGGTTTTTAAGAGTCTGACCCAGGAATACAGACCACACGAGGAGATTAAGTAAAACTAAAAAAATTTGCTTAAATTAAAAATTTAATTTAAGCAATCAAACCATACCATACCATACCATACCATACCATACCATACCATACCATACCNCCATACCATACCATACCATACCATACCATACCATACCATACCATACCATACCATACCATACCATCTTTATTTATAGAGCACTTTAATCACCCACAGGGCCAAAGTGCTGCATACATTCATTAAATCAATAAAAAAATGAAAATAAAACATAAAAACAACACTACAAATTGTGTTCAAATTCCAGAGAGAAAAGATGAGTTTTAAGAAGAGATTTAAAAAACAGACAGGGACGACGCCTGTCTGATGTCCAAAGGAAATGTCGTTCCATAATTTAGGAGCTGCCACAGAAAAAGCACGGTCACCTCTGAGCTTACGCTTTGTCTTGGGCACAGGCAGGAGCAGCTGATCAGCTGACCTGAGGGATCGTGAGGGCCTAGCAGATCGGACAGATACGGCAGAGCAAGACCATTAAGAGCTTTAAAAGCAATTAACAAAACTTTAAAATGATTCCTAAAATATACGGACAGCCGGTGCAGGGAGGCTAAAACAGGGGAAACATGATCAAACTTTGGTGTGCCAGTTAAAAGACGTGCAGCGGCATTCTGTACCCTCTGCAGCTGTGAGATACAGGACTCACTGATGCCTGTTTAAAGTGCGTTACAGTAGTCCAGCCGAGTGGTAACAAAAGCATAATTTATTTCAAGAGGTAATTTATTTCACAAACAAACAAACAAACAAAGACATTTGAGGCATCAAAGAAACAAATTCTCGAGAGGAAACCAGACATGGCATAAAACACACGCTGGCAGACTGTAGTTTGACCAAATGTGGAGACTTTAAAAGAATGGGCTTGATAAGTGTAGTGGCAACAGGTGAGACTAATAACAACAGGGAACAGGCGTAGGTGGGCGGGACAGGACCAAGGAACTGACTGAGGGAAACAAGTCTGATGAAACTAAGGAAATTATTGAAACACACAAAAAAGAAAATATCACAAAGAGCGAAGTAACAAACAGAAAATAATTAGAAACATTAAAACAAAAACTGTCACAAAACAACCAGAAAACACAGATTGTGATACCTCCTGGATATATTCCAGAATGTTATCAAGAGCATCAAGTTTCAATTTGACATCAAAACTGAATCCACCAAACAACATTTTCACCGCATCTCAGCCCTGATGCAAAAAAAAAAATTGTTACTATTTCATGAATGCTGTCACTAACACAGGTGAGAGGATGACAAAGACAAAGCATGTTTGAGTTAGATAACAGACTGTAGAATTCAAAAGGAGGAAATCATTGTTCTTCCTCTCTTAACTATGATTACCTGCAAGGAAATGTGTGCAGTCACCATTGTTTTGCTAAAAAAAAAAGTCACAGGCAAGAATATTATTGCTGGTTACACATTTGTAAATCATACATTTATTAGGTCATCAAGAAGTTAAAGGAATGAGCCTTTATTGCTTCGAAGCTGCAGTCGGAAACTTTTATAAAAATGTATTTTTAACATATTTGTTCAAATTGACAGTAGAATATGAGACAGATCATCTGTGGACAAAAAATCAAGTTCCTCTGGCTCCTCCCAGTGGTCCTCCTGCCATTTGTAGAAATTCACCGCTCCCCCTCTGAAACAACCAATCACAGCCAGGAGGATTGTCTTGTCAGCGTCAATCATACTTGTGTATGTGCTGCTCACGTCTTTTCCTCCACACACAGTATAACCTCTACCCTCTCAAGTTTGACAGGGAGCCAGTGGAGAGAGGCTAAAACTGGAGAAATATGATCTCTCCTTCCAACTCATTAAAACTCTAGCAGCAGCATTTTGGATTAACTAAAGACTTCTTAAAGAGTTTTTTGGATGCCTACATAATAAAGAATTACAGTAATCCAGTCGAGATGTGATAAATGCATGAATCAGTTTTTCCACATCATTTTTGGACAAAATGTTTCTAATTTTAGTGATATTACACAAGTGGAAGAAGACGGTCCTGGTAACATTTTTAATGTGGGTGTTAAAAGACATATCCTGATCAAAAATAACACCAAGTTCTTTACATTAGAACTGGAGGCCATCCAGAGAAGGTGAAAAAGGCTGCAAAGTTGATCCCTAAGATGTTCAGGTCCAAAAACTATAACCTCTGTCTTATTTGAGTTTAGAAGTAGAAAATTAAGAGTCATCCATGTTTTTATGTCTGTAAGACATGCTTGTAGTTTAAGTAACTGGTTGGATTCATCAGGTTTCATGGATAAATATAACTGAGCATCATCAGCATAACAATGGAAATTTATCCCATGCTGTTTAATAACTTCACCTAATGAAAGCATATACAGTATAAAGTAAAGAGGATTGGTCCAAGCACTGAACCCTGAGGAACTCCATGACTAACTCTGGTGTAAGCAGAAGATTCATTATTAACATTAACAAACTGAAATCTATCAGTTAAACAAACAAATAAAACTACGAACGGCTCTTAACTGCCCACAACTTGGTTCTTATCGTTCGATGTAAGAAGCCATTGAAAAAAATTAGGATTGCTCAAGAACCACACATCTCTAGTACCTTCATTCAAACTCAAGGCTGCAAGTGTGTTTTAGCTGTGCTGAAGATGGCCGAAACAAACTAAAGTTACATGAAAACGGCCAATTTTTGAGAGTTCTGAATGTTGTTTATCCGTCATCATCGGTGGCCATGCTGCGTTCACGGCAGGCTCCTCTGTGGGGGAGGAGCTGTGGAGGGAGGGAGGGCAACAGCACAGCAGAGAGCAAGGGGGAGGGACTTATAAGGTGTTTTTTTTTTTTTTTTTTCAAATTTTCAGACTAAGTCCAATGTTTTCTCAGAACTCCATAAGGAAGACTATGGCTGTGTCCAAAACGACAGGTCGGGTCCTCCAGAGGACCCAGACTACCCGGTCGAGGTGGGCTGGGTCCTTGGTAGACCGGGAAGACCAGAAAAAAAGAGGCTGTGAATTTGGATGGTCTAGCCTCCCCTCCTTACCCTGGCGTACGTCATGTCTCCTAGCAACCACGACGACTCTAAACGGAAGCAAAAATAGATCAAATTTAGAAAAATATCAATATATTAGCATTATTATTATCACAAAACAATACAATTAACTTAAAGGTAACATTTGAAGAACTAATTGACCTGATGTAGGTGCATGTTTATGTTGCATTTTTTATGACAAAAATAATATTTAAAAACATGTCCAAATGATAAAAGCATTAGAATTACAACCGCTAAAAAATTTAATTTTTATATCACCATTTTTTATTTAAAACGTATTCTTTTCTCTCGCTTCGTCCGCCATTACTAGCTTAAAAAATTTCCGGTCTGGCCGCAATGCATTATGGGATATGCTGGGCCGGGTCTGACCCATCAGACCAGTCCTTCAAATCGGGGAAAAGGAAGGACGTATTTGTCGGCCGCATCGGAGGAGTCTTCGGTTTGGGACAGCCTCCATCGCAGCGCTGTGACGTATGCGGCCGACGAATTCGGCCTTTGGAGGACCCAGCCTGCCGTTTTGGACACAGCCACAATCTCCCAAAATCCAACAAGTGCCAAGACTGTCTCCTAAATCTGGTTCGGTTCTGGGATCAGTGCCCTACCAGTGCAGGAATGACAGCAGGCTGTACACTCAGCGAAGTGAAGAATTTTGGAGGATGACCTGGTGTCAAGAAAGGCAGCAAAAATAGCCACTTCTCTCCAAGAAAAACACTCAGGAATAACCCAGTTCTGCAAAAATGGATGGACTTCTAAAGACTGTGATAAGATCATTTTCCTCGGTGAATGAAACTTTCTGAGACCCTTCATGTGCGGGCTCACTTCTCTGAAAAGGAACTGGGCTCACTCACCATCTGGCCTCAAAACATAGCCATGAATCAAAACAATGTACCTGACCATCCTCTGAACAACTTCTGTCAACCATCCAAGAACAATTTACTGCTGAACAATACCTTTTCCACCACGAGGAAGCACCTGGCTACAAGACAAAGGTGACAACTAGTGGCTCAGATGACAAAACATCTACATTTTGGGTCCACTGCCAGGAAACTCCCCAGACTCTAAACCCATTGAGAGCTTGTGCTCAGTTTTCAAGCTGCAGGTAGACAGGAAAAAAACCTGCAAATTCTTATAAAACTCTAAGGAGTTAGAGTTGTCTTCTACCAATTAGATGATGTCTTTTGGTTAATAGTTGAAGTGTCTATGTGAATGTACTTTATTTTTAATGCAATATATTCAACCAAATAGCTGCTTAACTGAA